CCTGGGAACATTCTGAAAAGCCCAGTTTAGCCTGAGTGGAGGCTCAGGTAAGGATGCAGAGAGCCAAGGTGGGAAGCAGAAGAGGGGTGAAAGAGGAGCTGCAAACTTGACCCTAGGAAGCTAAGGAAAAAATATTAAAGACTTTGAAACAGTCCCACACAAGAGATTGCTAGATGTCCTCTCTCACTCACCGTTTGGTGATATCACCTTCTTTCATTGTCTGAGCTAATTTGTAATGCTGTAAGTAATAGAAAACTGATGGGAGTTATGATCGACAGATGCAAGGCAAGCACCCATTTCTTGTTCATAGACATACAAATTGTGTGTGATGGAGATGCACTGGGAAGTGCCCCATGGAACTGTACCAATTTTGCATTTATCTGTAAGTTCATCTCAGCCTCTCTGGAAGCATCCCATCCCATCCCATTGCTGTGGCTGTCATCTGTTCATTCTCACAGCTGTATAGGAATGCACTGGGTGAATGTTCCACAGTTTATTGTTATTTCTATTGTTGATGCACGTGAGTGTGACTTTCTGTTTGGATCCAGTTTGGACATTATTGCCATGCACATTTCTTATAACATGGATGCATTTGAAAAACCCAATGATGAAAATAGTAATAAATGCTGGAGAGGATATGGAGAAAAAGGAACACGTTTCTACTGTTGGTGGGATTGTAAATTAGTACAATCAGTTTGGGGGTTTCAAAAGACAAGGCATGGAACTACCACATGACCAGTTTGTCCTAGAGAATTAAAATCATCTGACTACAGTGATACATGCATATGCATATTTATAATAGGAGCACCATTTACAAAAGCCAAATACGGAACCAGCCCAGGTGTCCATCAATGGATGAATGGATAAAAAAAAATATGGTATGTATACACACTGGAGATTTATTCAGCCATAAAGAAAAATTAAATTGTGTCATTTGCAGGAAAACGGATGGAAGTTGAGAACATTGTGTTAAATGGAGATAAGCCAAACTCAGAAAGTCAGGGGTCCTTTATTTTCTCTGATACCTGTAAGCTAAAGAAGAAAAAGGAAAAGAAAGTGGGTGGGTGGGTGGATGGGGGGCGGAATCTCATGAAAATTGAAGGGAGATCAGGATCAGTAGAGGAAAGGAACCAGCCGGAGGGAGGAGGGAAGAGAAAAGGGAAATATTAGGGAATGATATTAGTCAAATTATATTGTTATAGTCTGTGTATGAGCGGATACGTAAAAATAAGCCCCACCATTATGTACAACTGTAATATACCAATTGAAAAATGGAAAAAATAAAACATTTTAAATATTAAAAAAAAAATCCAGCACAATGTTGAGTCAAAGAAACCAAACCGAGAAATAGACCTCTGCATGAGCCCACACATGAAGATCAAAACCAGACAACGCTAAACCATGTTGTTTGGGAGCACAGAGGTAGATCGGGTGAAGCTACTAGGAAAAGCAAGAAAACAATTGCCCTAAAGTCAGGGTTGTGGTTATTTGTGTGGCTGGAGGGGGGGTTGTGGTTAGGCGGGGGCGTGAGGAAGACTTTTGGGAGCAGGCCAGGTTCTTTACATTGGCCTGGGTGGTGGTTACATGGCAGATGGGTTTTAATAAGTTGTTAACCTGAGTACTGTTCTTTCAGGGTGTTATATTCCACAATAAACATCAATTTAAGGAAAAGGATAAAGGAAGTCTCAAAAGATATTTAAGGAGATGTAATGGAGATTTTTTTTTTTCTTGACCCAGACTTACAACTCCAAATAGTTGAACTTTGGTCAAATAATAAGATGAGGTTGTTGAAGCACCCACTGTGGCCAGAGGCCGCAAAAATTCCACTGAAGGGCTGGGGATGTGGCTCAAGTGGTAGCGCGCTCACCTRGCATGCCTGCAGCCGGGTTCGATCCTCAGCACCACATACCAACAAAGATGTTGTGTCCGCCAAAAACTAAAAAATAAATATTAAAAAATTCTCTCTCTCTTTAAAAAAAAAAATTCCACTGCACATCCCTTCTGATGTATTCCGAGTCCTTGAAGAGGAAAGGCAGGACCAAGGTTCAGGTGGCAATCTCAGTCTCCTTAGGTTCTTTCGGGCAGATTGAGTGACAGGAGACAGCCTGCTGCTTGGAACTCCCAGAGTGCCCCCTGGGAATCAAAACAATTCCTCAGAAGAGCCAGCTGAGACTTGGACTTCATCATCCTGCTTCAAATGCCTGTGAGCTGCTGAGGGGCATTGTGAGCTGCTTCCCCCATTAGCTCATCTGCTACAAAGAGTTGAATCTGGGCTCAGGACTCCAGGGCAGAGGGTGGGCTGGGGAGGGGTAGGTTGATGCCCTGAGGCTCAGAAATGATGCTAGGGTCTCTGGTTTGGGAGGACCCTACCTGACATAGCTGCCCTTCCACATTTGACTGGGGTGGGGAAGGGCTGCCTCCCGGAGTGGGTAGAGAAGAGAACAGAAGTTGGTTCTGAATTGAGTCAGCTCTGACACATTCTCTCCTCTCCTGACCCTGCAACTCTGGATCTCTTCCAGTCTCCCTTGAAAGTAGTCTGTGTTCATACTGGGTGTGGTGGCACTCGCCTATATCTGAGTGGCTCAGGAGGCTGAGGCAGGAGGATCACGAGTTCAAAGCCAGCCTCAGCAACTGCAAAGCCCTCAGCAACTCAGTGAGACCCTGTCTCTAAATAAAATACAAAATAGGGCTGGGGGATGTGGCTCAGTGGTCTAGTGCCCCTGAGTTCAAGCCCCAGTACATCCTGCTCCCCCTAAAAAAAAAAAGAAAGTAGTGGGTGTTCTCAAGATACCCAAGCTTTCTAAGCCTCAGTTTTCCCATGATAGTAACATATATTTTATTTTTGAACATGAAACATGGGCCAAGCAGTGTGCTGGGACTTTATATGCCATGCTCCTCATCATCACAAAAGGTCAACACCTATTGATTCCTGGCTTCAAGGACTCATGGACAATGTCCTCTGTGACAGTAGCAAGTGGACCTAGCAAGGCCAAGTTATGGGCACCGTTTCTAAGGGCAGAGGGGCCGGGACTTCTCTCCAAAGCCAAGCAGTGTCTGCAGCCCACTCTGTGAAATGGGGACAATTGAGGGGAGGGTTGGAGGTAGATTGTAAGGAGACAAATATGCGGTTGACAGAGTAATCGCTCCTTCCCAGGGGACGACGGTAAGTACCAGGACAGTCTGAGAGCCAAGAGGGGTCAAATTGAATTTGGACTGAGACATTTCCTGCTCTGATCTCTTGGTGAAAATAAAGCCAAGTGAAGAAGGTGAAAGGGAAGAATCGACCCTGGCCTTCTTTAGGCCATTTCTGCCTTCCAGAGTTCCAAAGTCCTAGTCACTGCCCCCTCCCTTGACCCAGAGTGGCCCCCAAGGCTCAGCAGCCCATGTGCCCTTCCCATCTGCCTCCTCCCTGGAAGCCTAGGCCCCGTGGATGACCTGTGCAGGGAAGTTTTCTTGACTGTTTTCACATGGTTTGCTATTCTTTACTTCTGATTTAATTTCTTTTCGCCTCAAGTATTCTCTATCTAGTATTTAAATCAATAACAATAAGAACTTTTATTTTTTGAGTTAGGAGGAAGAATCTTAAATTCCCTCATCCTTCTCTGGACTCAGATGTAAATTCTGTGAGGTTATGATTGACAGATGCAAGACAAGCACCCAGAAAAAGATAGCCACAGCTGGTCCTCAGCTGTGGCCTCTGAGAAAGAGCGGCTGTGGTCAAGCAGGGACATATTTCCTCTGTTGCTTTCATACTTTCTTTGCAAAGATCACATTTTCCAATGGCACAAAACCTTTCTGAGCCCAAGTGTTCTCACAGTGGGTTATAGAAGCACATATCAAAATTGAACAGTAAATTTGTGTCAGAGGTCTATTAATTAAAAGCATTTTAATTAAAATGCAATATATGATCATTATAAAAAATTGCAGATGGTGCCAGACTCGGTGGCGCACACTTGTAAATCCCAGTGGCTTGGGAGGCTGAGGCAGGAGGATCATCAGTTCAAAGCCAGCCTCAACAACTTATCAAGACTCTGTCTCAAAATAAAAAATAAAATGGGCTGGGGAGTGTTGCTCAGTGGTTAAGCACCCCTGGGTTTGATCTCTGGTACAAAGGGGGGGGGGATTGTAGATGGTGCAAAAAATGTTTGGGAAAAAAATCCATAGAACTATCCATAATTCTACTCTCTAGAATCAAGCACAATTATCTTTCAGTTTTTTTACATTTAATCTTTATATGTTTCTATTAAATACATTTATATTTATTGTAAATATTCAGATGTCATTTAAAAATACTCTTTAGCATTAAAAATTCACACATATACAAAAGCAGAGAGAACCTCCTGGCACCCATTACCCGGTTTCAACAATTAACAACTCATGGTTAATATTTTTCAAATATTTTTTTTTTAGTTGTAGATGGTCACAATTCCTTTATTTTATTTATTTATTTTTTATGTGGTTCTGTATCGAACCCAGTGCCTCACATGTGCGAGGCAAGCGCTCTGCCACTGAGCCACAACCCCAGCCTCATGGATAATAGTTTCTCTGTTTCCCACTTCATAGCACCACTGTATTATTGAATTTTACCCATAAAACTTACATGTGGGTCTCTAAAGGATATGAGCTCTTTTAAAAAGCTAGTACTATATCTTCTCTTTAAAAAAAAATCGCAGTAAGACCTCATTATCATCCAGATTCAATTTCGTATCTGCTTTTTTCCGTTAAAGTCAGACCACAAGTTTTTCTCCATATCCCTAAAATGTAATTGTTAACGCTTCTAATTGTGTCCCACTATGTTATGTGTATTGTAGAGGATCTAGCCCACCCCACCCCCCTCCCACAAACACTCCCCCTCTCCACTTTTCCACTCCATTGAACATATTTAGACTGCAACATCCTCGGGAAAAGGCTGGCTCATGAGCACACCAGCATCACACATCTACTCTGATCTCTTCCCTTGGGCCCCGCCCACCCCAACCCGCCCACTGAGGTGCACTTACCTTGACCCACTGGGAAAGAGAACCTCGGGATGTGCCAGTCAGCTGCCCTGTCCTATGTAGACTCTGCCAGGGGCCAGTATTTCCCTTTCCCTCTCTCTGAGGGCATCTTTATTTGCAAAGTTAGCCAATAGTGTCTGGTTTCCTGTGAGGTAGACTATCTTTAGATGCTGCAGCAAGCAAGCTCAGAAGCTCCAGCCTGGAGACCAGCCAATCTCAGGAGGCTCTGAATCTATAAACCTGGAGGGCTGGAACCCGGGGCAGACCTGGAGAAAGGGGGATGATTGGGACCAGGCCATTTACTCCCACAGAGAGGAGGGCAGGAAACAGGACCTTGAAGTCAGCCCAGTTCAGCTCTCCTTAAAGGGGCTCTTCAGGGAAGCTTCAGGAACTCATGGAGCCTCGGCTTTCCTGCCCATAAAGAGAGCCCATGGGGCTCCATGGGCAGCATTAGGGTGCAGATCAAATGAGCTATAACCTTTCTTCTTATTGTGGTCCAGATTCTTCTTGCACCACCCTATATCTCCCGAATCAACACCTACATCTTGATGAGATTCTCAGGGGGCTGGTGAGCACCCGGAGCTTGGGGAGCCTCCAAAGTATCTAGCAGCTCACTACCTACCTGCTCATGTTGAGGGAGCCCACTGCATTTCCTTTCTTTGTTTCCTTCTGGCCTCCCTATTGGCCACCTTTGCTTGTGAAGGCTGCAAGACAGATGAAGAGACAGCTTGCTCCTGTGTGCAAAAATTTGGACACTAGCCCTCCCTCCCTCTCCCCACGGCACATCTCTCAGGTCCCTGCTGCTGCAGTCCTTGCCCTTTCTTGGACTCCATTCTACAACTATCTGTGCTCTTTCCTGGGATCTGGCCAAGACTCTCCCTCTGGCCCTGTCACTCTTCCTAGACAATCTCATCCACTGCACATTCTGACCACCTCTGGGAAGCATCTCCATCTCCAGCTGGAACTTAGATGACTCCCTCTGCCTACTCAAGCCCTTCCCACCCCTCTGTCTTTCTTCTATTACTCCATTGACACTCTCCACCCAGAAGACAGAGAATTGAGCAGTCCTGGTGATGTAGCTCAGGGGTAGAGCACTTGCCTAGCAGGTGTGAGGTCCTGGGTTCAATCCCCAACATCACAAGAAAGAAAGGAAGAAAAAAAGAAAAAGAAAGAAAGAAGCCAGAGATCTCCTTTAAAACCCCAAATCTGGCTGTTTACTCTACTGAAGGTGCAGTTGGTAGACTAAGCCACCGGTCCTCAAGTGACAAATTGGCCAGAAGGGATTGCCTGGTGTCCAGGGTGCTAAGCTGGCTCCCTCAGTCTGTACATGGGCTGCTGCTGGAACTTGCAGGGACGCTTGAGCTTAGAAAGAGCCACATGCAGATACTGTCCTTATTCTAAAGTTTCTGACATTCTACTTGGTAAACAGGCTTTGGATGATTTCAGCAACTTCAACACATTCACGTCTCACAAATCTGGAATATCCTTGAAGCTGGCACGGGCACAAGGAGGCATAACTGTCATATTTTGAATGACTTCAGTGAGAAGGTCACTTGGAGTTCCTTTTTCAAAAATGTTTYAGATCCGTGGTCAAGATTTCGTAAATCTACAATGTCAAGTCAACTTTACATGCTAAAAGAGGCTAAAGGGTATATTTCCATGAAGGTTTTCCATATCCTATAGCTTAAGCGTATGTCTGGGTTTCACCTAGACATCAACATTTGTTGACATTGGGCATCTAGCAACATGGTTATAATTCCTTTGTGGTGACATTTTTCCATATGGAGCAATTTAGGATGTGAATTAAGCAACATGTTGTCATAGTCTCATGTGTATGTATGTGTGTTTGTGTCTGTGGGAGAGAGAAAGAGGGAGAGAGAGAGAATTGTTTTTTTAAGTATATGAAACCCATCTGTGATTTATGTGACAATGTGTCATTCTTCTCTGGGAGCCTTGTTTGGGCTGAATTATTTCTAAACCTCAATATGTTGAGGCAGAATTCCTGACACCCACTGTAGACTAAAGCAAATGTGTTCCTTTATTAGAAAACAAGCCATCATACTTTGTATACAACCAAAAAAAAAAATGTATGCCAATCAAAAAGAAAACAAGCGGGCTGGGGATGTGGCTCAAGCGGTAGCGCGCTCGCCTGGCATGCGTGCGGCCCGGGTTCGATCCCCAGCACCACATACCAACAAAGATGCCAATAACTAAAAAATAAATATTAAAAATTCTCTCTCTCTCTCCTCTCTCTCCTCTCTCACTCTCTCTTTAAAAAGGAAAAAAAAAAAAAAAAAAAAAGAAAACAAGCCATCATTTGCCACTTAATTGTTTTGTGTGTTTTGAGTCTTTATCTTGTCCAGGTTAGTTTTAAACTCCTAGACCCAAGGGATCCTTCTGCCTCAGCCTCTGAGAAGCTCAGACGACAGACATCTGGCATGGGACTCAGTTAAGCACTCCACCGCAGAGCCTCATCCCCACAGATGAGTTCGCCTCTGTACCTATGCTCTACATCACCCACTTGACTCCTTTGTTCTCTCACTCCTAAGTTGTTTACTGAGCATCTATTGCGTGGCCTTCCTTATGCTCAGGGCTGCTTACTAGAGATACAAAGAGGGACAGGGCAGGGTCTTTTCCCTTACCCTGATTGTCTGTTTCCAGTCTCTTTATGGAGTAGGCAATCATCAGCAAGTGGGAGTGATCAGTCTTGCCTCTTTCCATGGAGCTTGGACCGGCCCCTCTCTCCTACTATTTCTGCCTCTTACTTACCAGGGCCAGGAGCAAGGATAGCCAATCAGCAGACACAGCCTTGCTTAATGGACAGTCTTTGAGTCTTTGGCTTCAGGACTTCCAGAAGGTTTATTAATTTATCCAAAGCATATGTCTTGCCAGCAAAAAATACCTGTGGTAGCTGCATTTCTTGGAGGGAGTGGTGTGTGGTAGCAAAATTGACAAGCCTTTGGGTTACAATTTTGTGGTGAACTACAAGATGCCAGATGATTTGAAGTCACACTGTCATGGCTCAAACGCTGACCTGCTACCCCCAAGCTGTGTAGCTGTAAGCTATTTCTCAGAGCCTGAGTTTCCTTACTATTAAAAATCAGAGTAATAATGGCAATTATCAATAATACAAACAATTATAAATATTGGTGAGGATGTGGGGCAAAGGATACTTACATATATTGTTGGCTCATTCACTCTGGAAAAGCAGTATGGAGATTCCTCAAAACACAAGGAATGGAACCACCAAGGATCCAGCTATCCTACTCCTCGGTATATACCCAAAGGATTTAAATCAACATACTATAGTGATGCAGCCACATCGATGTTTATAGCAACTCAGTTTACAATAGCCAAGCCATGGGAACCAACGTAGGTGCCCTTCAACAGATGAATGGATAAAGAAAATGTGGTATATATACAACGGAATATTACTCAACCAGAAAGAAGAATGAAATTATGGCATTTGCCAATAAACAGATGGATCTGGAGACTATCATGCTAAACTAAATAAGCCAGACCCCCCAAATCAGAGGTCAAATGTTTTCTTTGATGTGTAGAAGCTAATCCAAAAACAAGGCAGGGGTGGAAGGAGGAGGAGGAGGAGGAGGAGGAGGAGGAGGAGGAGGAGGAGGAGGAGAGGAGAAGGGGGGGAAGGAGAGGGGAAATTTTGTGATTAAGTCAGGGTGTTATAACTGAAAAGAATAAATGAAAGAATATTTATTTATTTTAGTTAATCTAGAAATAATTCTTTAAAAATTTTATTTTATTTTTAATGGTTCTTTTTTTTAATAAAAGAATTTTTAGGGCTGGGGATGTGGCTCGAGTGGTAGCGAGCTCGCCTGGCATGCATGCGGCCCGGGTTCGATCCTCAGCACCACATACCAACAAAGATGTTGTGTCCTCCGAGAACTAAAAAATAAATATTAAAAATTCTCTCTCTCTCTCTCTCCTCTCTCACTCTCTCTTTTACTCTCTCACTCTCTCTTTAAAAAAAAGAATTTTTAAATAGGAAAAAAGAGAGAAAGAAAGAAACACATCTGTGTAATAGATCTCAATGGCAAGACTAGTGTGGGGTTAGCCATGTCCCATGTAGAACACTTCCCAATAGTGCCCCAGACAAAGCAGAGAGGTTACTAAAAATGTGGGCTCTCCAGGGCTCTGCCACCATGAAGCAGCAGTTCCCTTAGAATTCTCTTTACTCTCTGTCTTCCTCTTCTCACTGCAGCTTGTTCTCTTAGCAAGGATTTCTGAGTGACAGTGACCTTTGCTGTTTCAACCTGTTGGGAAATTTTCTCTCTCTCCTCTTTTGAAAGGCCCTTTTATTACACGTAGGGAAAAAAAAAAATTAAAGTCAAGTATTATGGACTGAATTGGTCCCTCCCCCTGCAAAATTCCTATGTTGCTCTCCTACTCACCATGTGCTTGTATTTGGAGACAGAGTCTTGAAGAAGACAACTGAGGTTAACTGAGGTTATAAGAATGTGGCCCTAAGCTGATAGAACTGGTATTCTCATAGGAAGAGAAGCACGAGGTGTGTGCATGCACAGAGAAAGACCATGTGAGGATACAGGAGAGATGGGCCATCTGCAAGACAAGAAGCCTCAGGAGAAGCCAAACCTGTTGGAACCTTCATTTTGGATCTGTAGTTTCTGGAACTCCGAGAAACAACTTGCTATCGTTTAAGCTGCCCAGTCTGTGGTACTTGTGCTATGGCAACCCAAGCAGCTAAGATATCAAGTTTGAGGTTGATGAATCAGGGTGACATTCTTTCTTCTAGTTTATGGGTTGAAGGCCACTTGTTTAGCTTACTGCAGCAAGGGAGGACACCTGCCTTAGGTATCAGGGAGAATTTTCATACAGAAGAATTGAGAGGAGTTCCATTAGAGGATTTGGTCTTGTGCTGGATGATCTAAGGACAGATACAGGAAGCAGGGTCATTTCTGGTCAGATACTATTGAGAGGTAGGGAGCATTCAGTGACTGGCTGTCTTCATGAATTTCTTCTGGTGGGCAGAGGATTGAAGTGGGCTAGAGTCCTCATTGGAAAAGAAGCAACCA